TAGCGCCCGTGATTGCCTGCACGCTACCCGCACTCACGGACTCCATACCCGAAAGAAAGAGAAGGGAGCTCGCGGGAGAGGTGACGAGTGAACTACAGGTAGTGGGGAAGGCAGCCTCGATTGCCATACAGACATGGGTGCGAAACAACGACAAGACCAAGGCACGGGCAGAGGAACGAGAGAAGAATATAGGGTGGATAAAGCGCCTGTTCACGGCATGGAGGGTGAGCCACACCGAACGTACCGAGCGAAGAGCCGAACGGAAGGAGGACGGGGAAGATGACTCCGAGGAGGACGAACCAGTGGAAATTCAGTTGTCAGATGTCACGATGCATCCGAAGGGGACCCCAGCGCCGGCATCATCCGTAGAGGCACGAGTGTTCGAAGAGAGAGTGGACCTGAGCAACAACATGACCTGCAGGCAAATGATCGGAGTGGGAGTCAGAAATGTGGTCCTTGCGCGAGGGGAGCTCGATAGACTCGAGGGGCCAGGATATGCAGCAAGGAGGGCGGAGCTGCGCCGAAAGGCGAAAGAAGCCGAGAGAACAAGGGAACGGCAGGCGGCGGCGGCGCAGGACGAGGCAGAAGAGAATGACGCGACAGAGGAGGAAGTGACAAGGGAGAGAACGACGAGAGTGGGACGGCCGCGAGGTGGCATGAAGGTTGCAGCGAGAATCGGCGAGAGACTGCGAAAAGAGATAGGAAGAGGCAGACTCCCTAGGGTGGGCGACGGCTAGCGCATCACACTCCTCTCCTTAAAATCCCTGTGTGGTGGCGGCGTGCCGTCCTCCCATCCCTCCCTTGGGTTGTCTGTTTTCTTTCTTTCTTTTTTAAAAGAATTAGGTGCGAGCAGAGCTTCAGTGGAAGAATTTCACGACGCGCTGCCTCGCACACCCAGGCGAGAGCTTCAGTGGATGCGCGGCGGCTTCAACGGCGAGACGGGGACCGCCACTCTGACCTGACTCTGACCGGAACTTACGGTTAAGCCAGATCCTCCCACGTTGAGGAAAGAATTTTGTGTCAGCGCCTTTTCAGCTCCCCTCCTCCCGGCTCCCCACGAAGATCTGCAGCCGGCCCGACTGCAGCTGGCGAGCTGGGTCGTGCAGCCGCGCCACGCGCACCCCCCGGCGTGCCGGCCCCGAGCACGCGGTATACCGAGTAGCCCGAGCCATTACACCAATGGCGCTTGCGCCACCACCCGAAAAAGACATTAACAAAACACAGGGATGTGCTTTTTTCGACAGCGCGTTCAACACACACACACACACCACACACACACACACACACACACACACACACACACACACACACACACCACACACGCACACACACACACACACACACACACACACACACACATACACACACACACACACACACACACACACACACACACACACACACACACACACACACACACACACACACACACACACACACACACACTCTACCCTGGATAATTTCTTCTTTCCGCGGGCATGGATTTACTTTTTTTTCCCTTCGCGGCAACGCGATGGCGGCAAGCTCTTTGCGCGCCCACCCTCGTCACGCAGAAGACCAACGGGCGTCGGACCGCGGTGAGACCGCGCCGCCCTCCGCGCCCGCCCGCGCCCGCAGCGTGAACACATACGCGCGTCCCTCGCCGCACGGAAACATACGCGCCAGCCGCGCACACAGCCTCACATGCAGCGCAGACCGCATGCCCGCGCCCTGGGCCGCCGACGACCCGGTCGGGCGGGCTGAGCGGCCGCCGCACACCGCCAGGCAGGCGCACAACCACCCGCAGCGCGCCGCAGCCCGCCGCGCAGCCCTGCCAGCCAAGCCTGCGCCTCCCAGCTGCACAAACAGGCGCACAACAGAATACAGCACACAGCACACACCAGTGGCGCGCGCGCAGCACACGCAGACGCGCGCGCGACCGCAACACGCACACGTACACAGCACGCGCGCGTCGCACGCCAGCGCAGCGCCACACACAGAGCACACTTCCCACCAGCAGCAGCAGCCCGCCACAATCCACATCTTCACACACGCGCGCACACACTCCCCCCTACCGGCGCACGCATT